TATGGAAAATGAAGCTCGAAATTATTACAAATGGCGGAAAAAAAAAAGCTCGAGTGTGAAGTTTCACTTACTAGTATATGGCTTTTGAAACAGGGCTATCCAGACTGCCGAAGAAATCCATGGCTTTTGGAAGAGGGGTTGTTCCAAATCTATCGTCTCCCTCCCTCTCCAATGTTCTTCGAGGCGTTCTTGTGAAGCAGAAAGTGGTTTATATTTTTTTTATTATTAATATATTTTATGTCGGTTTTATCCGACAGAAAATGCTTTTATTTATTCTTATTAATAAATTTTTTGTCGGTTATAGCCAACACAAATTCTGTCGTTTTAGTATTTTCTGTCGGTTTTCACCGACAGAAATGCTCTTATTTATTTATTATTAATATATTCTCTGTCGGTTATATCCGACACAATTTCTGTCGGTTTTAGAGTATTTTTTGTCAGAAAATTCACTTCCTGAAGCTGGCAATTCTGTCGCTTATTATATCCGCCACTGCATCCATTTTCTGTCGGATTTTGCTTAAAATCCGACAGTAATATACATTGTTTGTCGATTTTTGGACTGCCAGTTATAGATAATTTTGTAGTAGTGTAAGTGAGCAATTTCCAGTTGTATGCTGCTCCTGCATCATATTGTACTCGGCTGGATACTAAAGCTAACTTGCGATAGATTTCAAACTGCTGAAACATTGATCCTCCAATCTTAATCAAATCTGGTAGTGTTGATAACAGCAGCAGCAAATATGAAATGAACCAGTGAGAACGAATACTTAGTAAAGGAATATAAACTCAATCTTTGATTATTCAATCAGTGCTTACAAATGAAGTTTTGAAGTTTTTTTTTTTCATGTTTGGTTGTTTAAGATTCAACTGTTTTTTATTATTTAGTGAAAGTTATGTTTGTAGCTCTTTTTACTTATAATTAATGACATTTGTAAACTTACAATTACAAGTCTTTTGGTTAAGACATGAAAGTTCTAAGATGGGTACTAGTTTAACCTAGAGGGGGTGAATAGCTTCCAACTTAAAAAATCCAATTCAATCTTCAATTTAATTTTCACATCCACAATAAATATCAAATTATCATACTCATATGCAGTTAAAACGATAAATAAAATGTGCACATAGGATGTAGGATTTAACGAGGCAAAACCCACCACTGGGAAAATCCTTAGGCTCCCAAGTCAGGACAAGCACTAAGAGAAATGAATACAGAAAGGACTTACAAAACTCATTTTGCTAGACAATCAACTAGAAGGTAGCTTTGTCTCCACGCCTTTGCTACTTGATCTCTCTTTAGCCTTCGAGTGGAAGTGGCACGATACTAACATGGCCGTCAATCACCTTCCCCTCGAACTTTGTAGGATACTAATGCAATCATGCAAAATGAATGTATAATGAAATGATTTTTGAAAAACAATCAATTACGAAAATCAAAATGCACATTTTCATAATCGATCTCTGTGCACTTGGGGCTGCTAACATATTTTTGATCTCCAATGATATTTCATGCAGCGATACAGAGTATAATAAAAATATCAATGCTTTACGGCAGCAAAAACCAAAACCCAAAAGCATGTTCTAATACATGTAGCAGCAAAAAACATGATATGATGATGACATGTAAAAAACTTAACGCATGCAGCAATACTCTAAAAAAACAATGAAGAAAATATGTTTTTCTTTTCTTCCTAATGCATGTCTGCCGACTAACATAATAAGGAAGCTGCAAAAATCTCTTGTACCAGTGCATGTATATGAGCGCAATTGAAAAGAAGAATTTGTATATTAAACGCATGCGGCAGCAGCAGCCAAAACCCTAATCTAATGCATCTATTAATAGGCTGCAGTAGGAGTAGTCAACATGACTAGTAAGCATAACTGCTTTGGTGACGAAGGGAAAACCATCACGCAAAGGCAAATACGGTTATCGGAAACATTGGACGGCGAACATATTGTCATGCAAAGCTCGTGACGTCAGACATTGTGCGACGGACATAGAGGCCGTCGTAGTAAGATTTTAAAAATAATTTTTTTTAAATAAAATTAATTAATTAATTATTTAGTTTTTCCTTTTAAATGTTGATAATATTGTTTTATGTATAAATTAATTTAATGAAATTAAAAATAGAATATGTAAAGAAGAAAATATATGGAATTAAAAAATTATTGAAAATGTACATATAAGGGAAAAAAATACTTTTAAATATGAAAACAATTTAAACAAAACTAAAATAGGTAGTCTTCCACGTCACAATCGCTTGTTGGTGGAGTTGCTGCTGCGTTGGGGGGCTAGGAGGTCTTAGCTGTTGTGGCAGGGGGCTGGGAGGTTGTTTCTAGAGGTGGTTAAACGTCGGGGAACCGAATGCCAGAGATTTGAAGGGTGAGACGAATTTGGTTCATCAAACTGCTTTGGGCCACAAGCTGAAACTGCCGGGCGGCTATCTGCTCCTTTAGGTTCGCCACTTTAAATGTCAGTGATTGGACCTATTCTGTTCTCTGCCTGGAGGATAAGGCAAAAAGGTCCTAAAGGCGGGCTTTCCCAAGCCCTTGGTGAACATTCCCATGCTTACGACCGAGGGTCTGATCGAGTATGTCTATCATGATCTGAAAACCGACATCCTCACGGGGAAACACCACCTCGATCGAGGTCTCTGGGAGAAGCTGGGAAGCCACCTCCTCTAGAACGGTTTGGCCTTTCTCCACCATGGTGGACTTAGCAGAAAGAAATAAACAAATTAATTTTAATATACCTGTAATTAATATTAATACTAATTGTGTGGAGCCTAAAATAATCCCAAATATTCTGGAGGCGACACGTGGATTTTTATTCAAGAAAGACAAGATTGCCCTCAATAAATGGGCAGGCTTCTCAAATGCTCCCACGCTCAGCTCACACCCCTGGAGGTCCCAGCAGCTGAATAAGACTGCCCACTGCTAACCTGCCCTTGGCAAGGAATTAAAGATAAGGATTAATTACCCAAACCGTATCTTTAATACATTCCTAATTGAAGATTGACTCCAATCAAGTAAGTAATCCTAATTTAATTAAATTAGGATAATTACATCATTATCGCAAGATATTATTTCCTATTTAATATCTTGGGAATATTTAGAGAATATCTCTCCATTAAACACTATATGGCCGGCCCTAACCCTATAAATACCCCATATTCTACTAATTTTTGAGAGCTTTTGCAACCCTAAAAAAACCCTAAACACTTTACTCTCTTAGAGAAACTTAGGCATCAGAGATCCATTGAGCTAACCCCCCCCCCACCTCGTGGGCGCGTGAGGCTTAGGTCTTTGATCAAAGGTGTTGATTGTTTTACAGGTGCATTTTGGTCAAGATTAAAGACGGTGGAAATTTGCATTGACAAATTGGTGCTTTCATTGAGAGGTGATTCAAAACACTCGGAGAAGCCTTTTGCATTAGTTTCTTGAATTTTCTGTTACGTTGAAATTTCTCACATGTCGTATCAATTAATTTTTCCTAGAAAAGTTTCTTGATCAATCTTTGGAGAAAGTATACAATGGTAGAAAATTCAGAAACTACGACGAATGGAAACCCATACGTGGAAGAATTTGGACCGGATAGTAGAGACTAGGACATAGCCCCACGACGGAGATCCTCAAGGCTCAACGCGACGGCAGGAGGAGCCCCACCACCATGGAGCCGTGCCACCACCATCACCACCGTGACCCAGCAGCCACGGCAAGGCTATCAGGCCACAACACCATTCCCACCAAACCCTAGGCAACCAAACCCTAGGCAGGAGGCCTAGATCCACTTCCAAGCCCATGGGCAGGAAGCCCAAAACTTGGCAGCTACCACAACAAGCCCTAGGCAGGAAGCTCAACCCAATGCAGCAGCATGCCTTATTACATAGTAGGCTCGAACCCAAGCCCCAGAATTCGACAGTTGCTGCCAGCCAGGCAGTTTAACGAGCCCAAGCCTAAGCCACTTAGCCAGTACCCAACGGCTAGGAGGGCCCATGACCATGCAGATCCAAAGAGAGCAGGCACCGGTCCAACGTTTACACAATCCAGCCCGCGACCTAATAATATTCTGACGATCTGGCCCGCAAGCCGCTCTGATGACCCAGCCTACGACCCAATGCATTCTGAGGCCACCTGCAGCAATCCAAATTATGACCATAGGTCCCGCGATCGATTCCTGGTTATTTACACCCCACTTTTCTGCAGGACTACCTGCTTTGGGCTCAAGCTTTGTACCTGCAGTCCACTATACTTCCACCACACATGGAGACGCCCATTATTCAAGCTTTTCCAATCCAAATGGCGAGCACCACCTGCCTTAGCAGGTCGCCAATTTAACAAACGCCCTTGAGCAGCAAACCACCTTGGTGAACCAACTCTTCGAGCACATTGAGATGTAGTGCGGCCCAGACAAGGTGTCCCGAAGTAGGACAAGGACGAAAAAATGTGACTCATTCCAACGACGACCTGGTAAAGAGCCACTCAGCCCACCACGAACCATACGTTTAGGTAGTGTGCACTCTCATTTGGGCTCTCAGGGAAACGTCTTCTCCCGCCTAGATGCGTAGATAAGCGTTCATTCCTGACTCGGCTCAAGAGTCAGTGTGTATTCAAGGTTAGGTATACGCTCCGATGAGCGTTCAGGATAATCTAGGAGAAGCGTCCACATGAGGCTAGGCCCACAATGAGATCTTCTTACTCATCAACGAAGTAGGCAGCCGCATGATGCCCAGAGAATGGCACGTGAGCAGGTCAGCTCAAGTTCTATTGGTAGCCCCCTCCTAAAGCGATGACGAGCAGCACAAGACGAACTACGTGCACCACAACCGTGGCATAAACAAGTAGGACTAGCCAAAGAGCAATATGGATCAGTAGGTCAACACCGGGGGTAGTTGGAGGCTCCGCTGCCCCACCAGGCACAAATCCAAGAGAAAGTACAAAGGCTCGTAGCAGAGCAGTTGGCTAACCTGAGTAGGTCACCCTTTACTGATGAGATCGAGCAGATGGAGCAACCACCAAAGTTCAGCTCGAGACATTTCACCCTATTCAAGGGAGATGAAGATCCGAACATGCATTTGATGCACTACCGAAGTGCCATGACCTTTTACACCAACAATGACGAGCTCATATGCAAAACCTTTGCTGCGAAACTCCAAGGTGAGGCACAAGACTGGTTTCACACCCTGTCGCCATCCTCAATCCAGAACTTCAATGAACTTTCCTTGGTTTTCATTAAGGAATATTCGCCCTGCTGCTCAATAAAAAAGAAGTATGACTATCTTTTCAACATGAAGAAAAACCCGAAAGAGTCGCTACGCACATATGTCAAGAGGTTCAAGACAAAGAAGACAAAGATCGTCAGACGCGATGGCAGCATTGCATGCTCAGCTTTCCAGAATGGCATCTCGGCAGAACACCCTTTATTCAGAAAATTGATCATGGGAGGGGAACTGACCTTGGCAGCCTCGTATGCTTTGGCAGAGAAGCACGCATTATGGGACGAGGCCAAGCAGTCGTGCAGGAATGAGCAAAAAAATAAGCACATGGACCATTCCCCAAACAGAGATGACTCAACGCCTAAGGCATTCACCAAGTTCTCAGTTCCGATTTGCCAAATTCTCCATAAGCTTAGGAATGAACCATGGTTTCAACTACCGCCACCCATGAAAGGTGATCTTACCAAACTGGATCAGACAAAGTATTGCGCATTTCACCAAGGGCCAGGTCACACTACCAACGACTGCCTCAAATAGAAGCATTACCTCGAGAAGCTGACGAAGAAGGGCTGGTGCGACGAATATCTCAACAAGCCAATCGCTCGGCCTATGCAAGCAGCAGAAGCCAACACTGAACCCCATTTAAAATGATGCGGATTAATAACATATTTGCCAAGTCAGAGCACTCTCGATCTGCAACTAGCAATGTGAATGAATGCTTGGAGAAATTCCCCATCACTTCTTAAACTCCGTTTAGACCTATCCAAATAAGTTCGAAGTCTCGGGCAGTTCAACAAACAAGACCTCATAGGTCAAGGATTATCCAGTTGTTATGCAATTTCTACCTTCTAGCATAGTTAATACGTTTCTTTATTCTCAATGAAGATCCAAGAAGTTATTCACAAACCTGGCTCAACCGTTGCCTACAACAACTGCTCAAAGCCCTATATGGGTAAGCTCTTCAGCGCGAAAGGGTAAATTAATTCCCCGACACCCATCAGGGTAAACTCTCCAGAGTCCATCAGGGTTAGCTCTTCAGTGCGAGAAGGTAAACTAATTCCCCGACACTCATCAGGGTTAGCTCTCTAGCACGAGAGGGTAAACTAATTCCCCGACACCCATCAGGGTAAGCTCTCTAACGTGAGAGGGTAAACTACTTTAGAATATCCAGACGTGGATGGGTTTTACGAATGCTCAGTTCCCTCTGAATGCATTGATTACCTGCGCCAGACGATTCCTAGAATTAGCCACGATAGTCCTTCCCTTGGAATAGACTTAGCCAACTGAAGGATTCAATTCCGCAGGATCCCGGGTCTCTAACTGGAAGAGACACTAAGTGTCGGACCCCTGCCCATGAAATAGTACGCGTGACAAGTTGGTCCGTCCTCGACATGTAAGTTATCATGAAGCGGCTTGGTTTTAAAGTGTTGCAATACTAGTTAAGCAACATGCGGGATCAAAGCTGCGACTCGGAGGGATATGGCCTCTAAGGAGCGACTTTGCCTACACCTCATACCAAAAAATGCCTCCGAGAGCCAGGGAGGACGCCTGAAGTGGTTACGCAGGATGTCTGCTTCTGTAAGTAAGACACCTGGCCGACAACCCGATGGCTAAAAGCCCAAGGTAGCCCGTAAGCCGAAACTTACGCCTGCTATGACTACACGGACTCGCCTGCTTATTTACAAGCAGCACTTCTGGCCGACGGTCTATGGTTCAAGTTTTGCTAGGACAAAATAGAGTGTCACGACTATAACAGCTACGCGGACCTCATCTGCTTCCTACGAGAAGCACAAGTCCGGCCGACGGCTTAATAAGTAAAAAATCTCGCAACATGCCCCGGGAGGGCCAAAGCTAAAAAAGCCACTAAAGTCAAATGTCACAGCTATAGTAACTATGCGAACTCACCTGCCTCCTATGAAGATAACGAGTTCAACCGCCGGCACTATAAGTTGGAAATCTCGTATTTCTTCCTTTCACAGGTAAAGCTCTAAAAGCCCCAAAGCCAAAACTAAAGCCTAAAGTGCCACGTGAGTCAAATGCTCCATCGAAGTAGCCAACTCAATTGCTCGTCCCACAACAAAGTTTTGCAAGACGACTCAAGCAGGCAAGGCTCCCGAAGCTGAAAGTAAAACCTAAGTGATGACGTGGGATCAACTACTTTGTTGAAGCAGCTTGCCCAACCGCCCATCCTACGGTAAAGTTTTGCAAAAGACATGGCGAAATAGAAGGATGAAGCAAAAACAAGGGAAGCTGTTTATTAAATTTCTAACAAATTGATAAACTGGCTCAAAGGCCAGCAAAGTTCAAATAAAGCATGAACAAAAAGGAAAAGAAGAAAACTCCTAAGTCTAAGAAAAAAAACTACTCATTTGGCAGTCTGCACAACCATTGGTTCCTCGACTGCCATGCCTTCAGCAGCCGCATCGCTCCCAGCAGCCAAAGCTTTAATCAGCTCATCCTCAGCCACCCCTGCCTAGACTACCTGATCCTCAACCACTCCACCAAAGGTAGCCTCAAACGAGAAATCAAGCAGATTAACTGGAGAAATGGAAAAAGTCTTGAAGTCCTTCTCGGAAAACTCATAACCTAGCGGCCTACCCTGAAAATGGTCTACATAGCCAAGCTTGTAGAAATTGACCTGACAAGAAGCAAGCGCCACTTCGTGACCTGCTTTCTCATTCTTCAGCTGCACATTCTCCCCAACAAGCCTAGTGTGAGCACCTTGCAGCTCATCCAGTTCATTTTTCAGGTTCTCGCTAGCAGACAGTGCACCTTGCAAATCCATCTCTTTGGACTCAAGTTTACTGGAACCTCCTTGAGATGAGACACTTCAGCATGCATGAAGATAAGCTCATCATCCTTGGCAAAGCAAGCAGATCGTAGTTCCGAATTAACACGCTCAAGGTCCTCGACCACCGGAGAAACATGACTGACTTCCTTCTCTGCAGTTTCTAACATCACCTGAGTCGCACTAAGCCTAGCATTCAAATAGGCAACCTCCTGATGAGCGATCTCTAGCTGCAAAGAAGTGGGGGCAGAGACATCAGACCCCTTCAAAACGACGAGTTCAGATCTAAGCTTCTCGATCTTTTCAGCAGCCAAGCGAAGCTGAGCCACCAATGTTACTTTGGCCTCCTTAGCACACTTGACAGCATCTTGATCAACGTACATAGACTCAATTACCAGGATCAAAGTCTTATGCATTGTAGCAATCAGGGAGGATCTTCTCGAGTAGGCAAGACGCTTCTCAAATGAGTCTGAACGGATGACAACTTTCCCAACACTGTCAACAAACTTAGTGCATGCATCGACATCCTCAAGCAGGTCAGTCTTCAGTAGTGTACAAACCTCGGGAAACTCTCCAACCTCAGACTCGGTAGATCTCTCACAACAGTCCGTGTGAGCAAATTTCCCCTTCTCAGCAGACGAGTCAGTCACAGCAGAAGGAGAAACAGGCTCAGACGCCACCTTAGTAGTAGAATTCACCTTCTTGCTCTTCATAGCAGTGAGCCTCTCAGAAGCTGATCCAGACTTAGCTTCCGATGGACGTTTCGATACAAAGTTGGACACTGAAGGCCTCATCAAACTCTTCTGTTAGGCAAGTCTCTCAGCGATGGACATGGTCACCTTTGAAGTAGCTGGTTTCATAGGCTCAATTTCAACAGTCTTCTTCACCCCCTTGGGGGAAGTTAAATCAATAACAAACTGCTCGACAGCAGAGAGGCTCCCACGAGCAGCGGAGGAAGTTCTTGGCTTCTTCTTGGCCAAAGGCTCACAAGAAGGTGAGGAAGATCTCTTATTTCCACCCTCATTGACAGCAGGCTCTACAGCAGCGATCTGGCGAGCTAGCCATTCGTCCTTTATTAGTTTTATCTCTTCCTTCGGAGGCAGGCCATATTTCTCCCGACGAAGAAGGCTGAGCAGTTAGCACCACTCATGGTACTCAGTAGGTGTGTGGGCATTTGTGGTGCCTAAAATAATCCCAAATATTCTAGAGGTGACACATGGACTGTTATTCAAGAAAGACAAGATTGCCCTCAATAAATAGGCAGGCTTCTCAGATGCTCCCACGTGCAGCTCATATCCCTGGAGGTCTCAACAGTTGAATACGATTGACCATAGCTCACCTGCCCTTGGCAATGAATTAAAGATAAGGATTAATTACCCAAATCCTATCTTTAATACGTTCCTAATTGAAGATTGACTCCAATCAAGTAAGTAATCCTAATTTATTTAAATTAGGATAATTAGAGAATATCTCTCAATTAAACACTATATGGCCGGGCCTAGCCCTATGAATACTCCATATTCTACCAATTTGTGAGAGCTTTGCAACCGTAAAAAAGCCCTAAACACTTTACTCTCTCAGATAAACTAATTTAGGCATCGGAGATCCGCTGACCTAACCCCCCCTCAACCTCGTGGGCGCATGAGGCTTGGTCTTTGATCAAAGGTGTTGATTGTTTTGCAAGTGTATTTTTGTCAAGACTGAAGACGGTGGAAATTTGCATCAATAAATTGAATATTAAAAATTTGAAATAACTTACATGAAGCTACTCTGTCAGCTCATCCCCGGGCCGAACGTACAACTCCTTGAACATGTCAATCTCATGAAACTTTGACCCCCCCTGAAAAAAAAATGTTAACATAGATTACCATTTGTGTAATAAATAGTAAAAAGAATGAAAACTTAAAATAAATATACGGTTACCTTACGTCGCTCCTCCAACCTATAAGAAAAGCATCGTGAACCGGAGCGATGAAGAAGTTTCTTCTTTGATCGATTGATCAAGTTTGCCTTCACTTTTTTCTTTTGAATTCAAAAACATATTAGTTTAGATATTTATAATAAATTAATGACAAAATGAAAATTTTATTTAAAAAAAAAATATTTGATTAATATATTATATTGAAATATATATTATACTTACGAGGTATTTCTCATCTTGAAAATGGCCGCAGAGACACTCCCATTCATCCTGGCAGTCCGCCAACTCTATAGGGCACCCAACTGCTAGAGCGGCCTCCGGACCGTCATATTTCTCATAATGCTTGTGGTGGTCACTCTTCCATTTAGTGAACCTACCGGTGCAAAAGTCGTTGACGTACTAGTTTTGACTAGCATCGAGGTTCGTGAGCTCATAGTGATGCTGCAAAACTCAACAAAAAAATAGCAGTTAAAATTTATAATATTTGTATACTTTAATATAAATTTAGTATTTGAGGTTGAAAATACTTACCAATAATTCATGAAGAACGGCTTCCTTGACTTCATGTGGGATGGCTTTCCATGACTCCCATAGGAAGGGGTAATGATTCCTAATAACTGATCCAATGTCGTTGGCTAACGCACTGTGCTGCTCCTTTGTTGTAGCCACACGATGTCGAGGATCCCACATAATGGTGATCTTCTCGATCGTGGTGCGAGTGGTATGTGACGTTTTCAAAAGTCTGCATGGACCCTTGATGTAAACATCAGACAAATTCTATATTCTACCAAAAATTCGACAGAACCTCCCCTAATGCTATAACGTTTC